GATCTCTAGGGCAGGAGTCTGATTTCCTAGATGTTTCTAATAATCTATATATATAAAATCCTAAGCGACTGTTATGACTGGTCATTGTGACGCACACTGACCACCAGGAGGCAGATGCTCAGTGCAGGAGCTGCCCCTTGGTGGTCAGTGCACTCCCACAGCGGGAGTGCCACTCAGCCAAAAGCCAGGCTCATGGCTGGCAAGCAGGAGCCTCTCCCGCTTCCGCGCCAGCACTACTGAGTGGCGGCACCAGCGCAGGCACAGCAGCGCCGGGCTGGCTCAGACTCCTCCCCAGCCGCCGGCCACTTCGTGCACTGTTACATCCCTCGGGAGATGTTGGATCAGGTCAAAACGGGCAGTCCCACATCCCCCAAGGGGTCCCAGATTACAAGCAGGCACAGGCCAGGCTGAGGTACCCCACCAGTGCACAAATCCATGCACTGGACCTCTAGTCCAAGATAAACAACTGCAATTTGAGTCTGCAAAGATAGGCTGTACTGCCAGCTGTTTTGTTAGATTACCTATCTTGCTTAGTTAACTTATGTTCCAGTGAGAAACTATTTTATTGATGTTTCTGGCCCTTTTTTCACATACTTTTTAAATGGTTAACTTAATCATATAAAGAGGAAATGACTCACAAGTGAACCCTATGAAGTGAGGTTATCTTTGTCATCCATCCTTTCGCAACTGGTTTGTAATATCTATGTCTTAAAACCTCATTGTCCATCATTATATGTTCATTTCCATCTCTAAACTTGGTTATGCTGCATGTCTTCCATTTACCCTTATCCTTTTCATTCCCCAATCCAACTTGAATTGTCATCTGTAGTTCTCTCCTTTTCATGAAATCTCAGCTATTTCACCCTGTGTTTCTTATTGTCATAACATTTCTGCATTACATATAGCATCTAACATCTTTTCTTGGCACTTAAAGTTTTATGTGGTGGGTTTAAATGTATGTCTATATTAGTTCTATACATATATTTGTTCCTTGTGGCATCAAATGATGAACTTAGTAGTTACTCAAGTTGATTTAGGAGATCTTGAGTAATCTTAGATTTAAGGCCAACTAGCCATTCTTTGAATTGTTCACAAATTTTACTATTATGATGGATATATAACTGGAAAAAGTTATATTTAAGTCATGTAGAATCAAGTGACTGATCTTTTATAGAGTAGCATTTTATACATACAGATTAATGATATGGCCAATACTGTAAGGCTGTACATTTATTTTAAGGAATAAGTAATGTTTTTAGATTTGTTTAGTTTAGTTATGTTTTACAGTATAATAGTAATTTGTTCTTTGATCACTGAACCTACCGTGGTAATTTCCAGATATCCATTTATATAGTTTGTAAACTAATATGCCCCAGCTTGGCTTGTAGGAAGGTGTGGAACTAAAATAGTGTGTACATCAGCAAGCAGGATGCTTGAAAGAAAATGAATCGAGAGGATTTGAGTGAATATCTTAAGCCAGTGATTCTCAACCTTCTGGCCCTTTAAATACAGTTCCTCATGTTGTGACCCAACCATAAAATTATTTTCGTTGCTACTTCATAACTGTAATGTTGCTACTGTTATGAACTGTAATGTAAATATCTGATGTGCAGGATGGTCTTAGGTGACCCCTGTGAAAAGGTCGTTCGACCGCCAAAGGGGTCGCGACCCACAGGTTGAGAACCGCTGTGACTTAACCAGTGGTGGCAGCCTATTGAAAACGTGGGGTTGAGAGTAGGAAACCAGGACTTTCTCCACTAAATACCAGGGTGCTGAGCAGAATTGCTTTATGTGTTAATTCTTTATAATAGGGGATCTTAACGGAATGTTTTGTTATGCTGCAAACAACTTTGGCAGTCTAGTTAAATCTATGGGATCTTTCTCAGAATGTTTTGAAAGAATAAAACAAAATGTATAGGATCTGAAATGAAACAAAGCATGTTAAAACACAGCTATTAAAATATTAAAAATCTGACGTAGTAATTATGCGCTTTAACACACTGAAATACAAGGTCTATTTATATGATTGTTTTAGGGCCATCTCTTCCCCCCCCCCCCAATATATTTTTTAATTTCAGAGAGGAAGGGAGAGGGAGAGAGAGATAGAAACATCAGTGATGAGAGAGGATTATTGAACAGCTGTCTCCTGCATGCCCCCCACTGGGGATTGTACCCACAACCCAGGCATGTGCCCTTGACTAGAATTGAACCCAGGACCCTTCAGTCTGCAAACCAACTGAGCCAAACCAGCTAGGAAAGGGGCCATCTCTTATATTCAGTTTCTCACACTGTGTAACAAAATTGTTTGGGTTATATATGACGGGAAATCTGCCCCAAACTAGTTAACCTAAAACACACACACACACACACCCCAGCCAGCATGGCTCAGTGGTTGAGCATTGACCTATGAACCAGGAGGTCACAGTTCGATTCTCATTCAGGGCACATGCCAGTTTCTCCTCTTTTTAAGGACCAAATAGTACCCCATGCTTTTTAGGGAAAACTACTCTTCCCTGCAACATCATCTTTGTGTGTAGTTTAGGCAGCTAGTCCTTCCCTGTCCCCACCTCTAGGAAGGGTAATCCTCAGAGTGGTTTGAGGAGTATCCTATCTCCCAGATTACAGTGATTGGGAGGGAGGCTGAGCACATAAAGCTGGTTTTGTCTTAGTTAACCGTAGATTTTTTTGCTGGGAAAGTTGATGCATTAAAGCACAAGTTTCTACTCTCCCCTCAATTCTAAGTTTGGAGAAACTGTAAACCCATTATTTTCAAACACCTATTTTCTCCTTAAAAGGGGGAGAAGGGTATGGGGAAACAAAGAAGGGAAGCATAATTATATCAGACTTCTCAGGTATGTTCCTGGTCAGTCTATCAGAAGTTTTTTGTTTTGTTGTTTGTTTTTAATGAGGAAAGAAAGGGTTCATATACATTATTTGCTCCTTTCCTTCCTTTTCTGCAGCCCTGAAGACTAATAATTTTGTCTTATAGGCTATTTGCCTAAAACATTTATGTGACCATTTTTATATGCTTCAAGTTAATTTTCCTTGGCCCTATTTCACAGACTAATGTTCTTTCCATATTAGGTAGATTAAACTCATACCTAGTAAGGTAGTAAATAAATTCTTTAGAACTTAACATTTTTTGAACTCTTATTTATGTTAAAAAATATTTAGTCCTGGCCAGTATTACTCAGTTGGTTGGAGCATGGTCCCATACACAGAAAGGTGTGGTGGATTCAATTCCTAGATTTCAGGTTCTACCCCTCTCTCCCGCTCCCCCTCTGTCCCTTTCCCCTTCATCCTCTCCCTTCTCCCTTTCCTCCTCCTCAAAAAAAAATTTAGTCACCAGAAGCAATTATTTATAACATAAGCAAATCAAATAATTGTCTCCTTCATACAGATGGCTTTCTCCAATCTCTTGATTTTTTTTTTTACCTGCCATTACTCCACACCAGCAGTTCTCAAATTGTATTGTACATCAGGCTTGACTCCTAATAATTTTCCACTGTAAATTATAGTTCATCTAACCAATCCATAATTGTGAAATTAGAAAAAATCTGAAAGTTCCTGCTTTATACAGCAGTTGAATACCTTCTAAAAAGTAAACTGTGAAAATATTTAGGGGTGAACTATACTTATGCCTGCAACTTTGAAATGCATCAAAAAATGCATCAAAATGCATCAAAAAATAAAATGGATTGATGAATTAATATGTGGTAAACCACACATATATCAAAATGGTAAGAATTACCAAAAAAAAAAAAAAAATGGACAGCCCAGCCGATGTAGCTCAGTGGTTGAGTATTAACCCATAAACCAGGAGATTATGGGCTTGATCCCCTGTAGGGGGCATTCAAGAGGCAAATCATTGATTCTCCCTCTCCCATCCTCTATCTGAAATCAATAGAAACATATATTTTTTTAATGATAAGAATTACAGAATCTAGATATTGGGAATATGGGTATTCACAGAGAATTTATGGGGACTATACATACAAATATTCCTGTTAGATTGAAATATGAAATTGGCATTGATGTAATTAAAACACAAATATAGGCAATTTCATTTGGTACAACCTATTATTAAGATTGAGTAGACGTGTGTGTGTGTGTGTGTGTGTGTGTGTGTGTGTTTTCCAAGTCTACCTAAAATGCTACTAAATAGGATAGTTTTAGTAGATATGTTTTTACATTTTTTTCCTGATGACTAAAATTGGCTTAATTTAAAATTTGTTTAATCTTAATACTGATTAATTATGCTAGTCCAACTGTACTTAGCTACTATATATTACATTGTTGAAAAGAAAAATTTGTACAAAGCTAGAGAGTTTCTACATAGTCTTCCTATGTTTTGTTACCAAAGTGATACATCTCATTTCCCAGGTGTACACAAATATAATTACAAAATCACCTCAGTTGTGGGGGAAATATATAACAATTTAATTAACTGGTCTGTTTGCTATATACCTGTCGATTGAAATTTTATGCAAAAATTGAAGGTTAAAACTCAAATTATGGATAGTGGTGATAGTTGCACAATGTCAGTATACTTTATTATATTCTTAAAAATGGTTAAGTAATAAATTTTGTTATGTATATTTTACCATAATACAATTTTTAAAAAGATAAAGGAGAAGGAGGCATTTTTGGATAACCATAAGATAGTGTGAAGGTCCTGACAGTGTGGCTGAGGTGGGTCCTAAAGAATAAGCATGCTAATTAAAGGCTGCCTACCTCCCATTCTTATCTTGCTCATTTGAAACCTGACTGAATTTGAAAGCTAAGTAAAATCATAATTTTGGATATTGTTGCCATGAATACAGTCCCGTTTTTTCCTCTATTCTAATTGAGAAGTTTTAATTGGAGCACACAATTAAAATTCATGTTCTACAGTAACTGAAGATCTCACCCATCTATAGTACCTGACTATATAATCTTTCCGACTGAGCATAGTTAGGCTAGTTATTCTGACAGAAGTCACTTATCTAATTAAGTGAAAAATGCACAGTAGGTAAGAAGCTTTAATTAGCCGTTGTTTTCAATTGTACATTCATACTTTAATAGGGTGGAGGGTGAATCGTCTCACTCAGTTAAATTATATTTGCCCTAATAGAACTTGGTGTTGAAACTTGTATTAATTGGGAGAAAAATAAGGAATTGGCAACCTAGTTCCACAAGAACAAATTAGACCTCTTGAAGTACCTATAAAAGCAAAATGGAAAAATGTTATAAATTTAACCATCTCCCTAGAATTTTTTCGTAACATAAGAAGCATCTCAGCCCTGGCCCAGTGGCTCAGTTGGTTGGAGCATCGTCCCATACACTAAAAGGTTACAGGTTAGATTCAAGTCAGGGCATATACCTAGGTTTCGGGAGGCAAGCAAGCAATGTTTCTTCCTTCTCTCTCTCCCCCTCTCTCTCTTCCCCCGCCTCCCTTCCTATCTCTCTAAGTCAATAAACATATCCTCAGGTGAGGATTTAAAAAATGGACTTCTCTGATTGGCATATGTGACTGAACCTTTAAAAAAGAAAACATCTCATACTTGAGACTTCTAAACTTCAAGTGTAATAAATATAACTCAAAAGGAAAACCAAATCATACCTATAACGGAATCATGTAGGCCCAAATTTATCATGTCATTATCCTAAAACAATTTATCCTCCTGTCTTCATTTCTTCTTCCCGTCAACTTTGTGTGTGTGTGTGTGTGTGTGTGTGTGTGTGGTGTTTGTTTGTTTGTTTGTTTTTTTAATTTAACCATCTTTCTCTTTTCTTATAGTTATGCTTTACCAGAAAGAAATGGGCGGGGGTTTTCCCTCAGTTGAAAATTGAATGAGACCATGTGTGAAATCACTTGTACAATACTTTAGTTTTCCAAGTTCAAGAGGTTAAAAGGTTAGTGTTGAAATGGGGGGAAAACTGAATTTCACATACTTCTGTACTTACCACTCATCAAAGAATTATTAAGTCTTATAACACAAAAGCAGCCTGTGGCTTTGCTTCCACTGGTTCATGACAGAAGATAAATTACTAGAAAGATGGAGGGAATTACATAAAAACAAAATTCAGAAAACAATGATTCTGCAGATGAATACAAGGAAGACCAGAAAAAGAAGCTATTCTTACTGGAAATGTATTGATGGTTTTGTCTCCTCAGTCTTTTAATGTAGAATAGAGGTTCTATAATACCATAGTAGGGTCATCCCATTAAGTGAGGGCTGCAGTGGAGAGAAAGTTGGGGCTCTTAAAGATAATGTCATTATTTTCTCTTAATTTACAGAAGTTGCTGGGTGTGTTTTGCCACTGATGAAGATGATAGAACTGCTGAATGGGTGAGACCATGCAGGTGCAGAGGATCTACAAAATGGGTGCACCAGGCTTGTCTACAGCGCTGGGTGGATGAAAAACAAAGAGGAAACAGTACCGCCAGAGTGGCATGTCCTCAGTGCAATGCTGAATACTTAATAGTTTTTCCAAAGTTGGGTAAGAAGATCCTTTAAAGCAATGCAGATATAAATGATGTTATTATACATAATTCTGTGCTCTCGGGTTTATTTTAAAGTGAGCCATCTCTGCTTTTTTGTGAATTTCTTATTCTTTTTCTATTGTTTCCTCTAAATGTCAGGCATTTATTTGTTTTGTTAACAGTTTACATTATCCTTAATATATCCCCAGATCCATTCATTAGTTTGTGCATTAAATGTTTTCATTTGGTTGAGTGGATAAAGAACTTGGACCTTAACCTTGTGGATAAAATCAAATAACAAAGCTATAATAAAAAGCTGACTAAAGAGCCTCATTCTCTGGAAACTATTGATGTAGAAAAAGAAAACAATCGTATTTTTTTCTAATACTTATTCTTAATTCAATATTAAGGAATAAAAGCAGAGAAATTAAAGATTTAATAAACGACAATGTTAAACTCATCTTTGGAATCTATTTATGTGGTTATCTTGCATGAAAGCTGCTTTCCTTTTTCTGTAAATTGGTGAGCAGGGAACAACCAAAAGTTGTTCTAGCATTGAAAAAAAGTATAGCAGACTGTTGAAAGGAAGCAGTAACTAAGACTGATATTTAGTTAGCATGTTACATTCCAGCCATGTGTTTATGAACTGGTATCTTTTTCCTCGTTTGATGTTAATGCCATGCCAATTGTAAACATTTTTAATATCCTTGGCTGTAATCAAGAGGCATATGAAGACAATTTGGTTCTGAGAAAGTCAGAAGAAAATAATGACGTTTGGGGAGTAAGTTCAAGGAGAAATTGGAATTATTCGATATGTTGCTTTTTCTAGGTGCTGTACATATTGAAATCAGACCCATTTTTTTATTTTTTTAATATATTTTATTGATTTTTTACAGAGAGGAAGGAAGAGGGACAGAGAGTTAGAAACATCAATGAGAGAGAAACATCGATCAGCTGCCTCCTGCACACCCCCCACTGGGGATGTGTCCGCAACCAAGGTACATGCCCCTGACCGGAATTGAATCCGGGCCCTTTCAGTTCGCAGGCCGACGCTCTATCCACTGAGCCAAACAGGTTATGGCCAGACCCATTTTTTTTAATGGGGCAATAAAAATGAAGTGCTTTTATAATGTGAGAAGTTTAATAATAAGGGCAAACAAAATTTCCATTATTGTCTATTTCTCTAGAATAATGCGTAAGAAGAAAGGCTAGTTTCCTGTGAAAGGAAAGTAGCATAGTAGAGAAAGTAGTGTTTCTCAGACATTTAGATGTGTCTTCATGCATACCACTGATTTAGAGAAAGTAATCTCAAGAGTAATCCAAAAATTTTTATTATAATATCAGAGCAGTGTTTTAAATAGTTTATTGGGGAAAACAATTACTGCTGCAATCTTTAACTACATTGATATCTCGCTCACTAAAGTCAAAGTTAAGGTTTCATATTTAACTGTGTCTTTTCTTACGCTTTAGTTCTACCAAATTAGGTGTCTTTAACTGGTTTTGGTATGGGGGTAATAATAATGGCCTCATAGAACAAGTTGGGAAGTGATCTCACATTTTTTGTGAAGAGTGTGTGAAGGATTGGTGTTAATTCTTTAAATGTTTGATGACAGTGAAGCTCTCTGGTCCTGGTCATTCTTTATAAGGAGTTGTTGTTTTTTTATTATTATTACTAGTTTAATCTTCTTACTTATAGGTCTATTCAGATTTTCTATATCTTCTTGAGTCCGGTTTGGTAGTTTGTGTCTTTCTAGGAATATGTCCATTTTATTTAGCTTATCTAACTTGTTGGAATATAATGGTTCATAGTATTCCTTTATAATCCTTTTTATTTCTGTAAGGTTGGTACTGTATTAATGTTCCTCTTTAGTTCATGGTTTTAGTAATTGGAATCTTCTGTCTTTTTTTCTTGGTCAACCTAGCTAAAGTTTTGTCAATTTTATTGATCTTTTCAGACTCAACTTTGGTTTTATTGATTTTCTCTTTTTTTATTTTCTATTTCATTTATTTCCACTCTAATAGTTTCCTTCCTCCTGCTCGGTTTGGGGTTAGTTTGCTCTTCTTTTTCTAGTTTTTTAAAGGTGGGAGTTTAGATTATTGGTTTGATTTTATTTTAATAGATTTTATTTTTTTAGAGCAATTCTAGGTTCACAGCAAATTGAGATATCCTATACTAGAGGCCTGGTGCATGAAATTTCATGCACTGGGGGGAAGGGTCCCTCAGCCCAGCCTGCATTCTCTCACAGCCTGCGACTCCTCACTCCTTACCACCCGCCTGCAGCGGAGGCAGGAGAGGCTCCTGCCACTGCCGTTGTACTCAACAGCTGTGAGCCCGGCTTCTGGCTAAGCGGCGCTCCCCCTGTGGGAGTGCACTGACCACCAGGGGCGGCAGCTCTTGTGTTGAGCGTCTGCCCCCAGTGGTCAGTGTGCATCATAGCGACCAGTCGTTGTGCCATTCAGTTGATTTGCATATTAGGGTTTTATTATATAGGATACTCTCTGCTTCCTCACATTCATAGCCTCCTCCATTATCAACCCTTTTCGCCAGAGTGATACACGTGTTGCACTTGATGAACCTATATTGGCACGTCATTATTAGTCCATTGTTTATATTAAGATTCATTGTTGGTATTGTACATTCTATGGATTTGGACACATGTGTAATGACATGTATCTACTTTTAAAGTATAATACATAGTATTTTCATTGTCTTCATATTTTTTGCCTTTTTCAGAATGTCATATAGGCTATACCCTTTTCAGATTGGCTTCTTTCAGTTAGTAATACATATTTAAAGTTTCTCTATGTCTTGATAGTTCGTTTCTTTTTAGCACTGAACAATATTCCATTATCTGGATGTACCACAGTTTATTTATCCAGTCACCTACTGAAGGACAACTTAGTTACTTCCAAATTTTTACAGTTACGAAAAAAGCTGCAGTAAACATCCGTGTGCAAAGTTTTTGTGTTTTTTGTTGTCACTCCTCACCTGAGGATATTTTTTTCATTGATTTTTTAGAGAGAGAGGGAGGGAAGGAGAGAGGGAGAAATATAGATGTGAGAGAGACACATCAACTGGTTGCCCCCACATGTTCCCTGACCAGGGCTGGGAATCAAACCCGAGACCCTTTGGTCTGCAGGCCAATGCTCCAACCACAAAGCCAAACCTGCCAGGGCACGTGTGCAGGTTTTTGTGTGGACTTAAGTTTTCAACTTATAAATACCAAGGAACATGATTGCTAGATCATATGGTATGAATATGTCTAGTTTTGTAAAAAAAAAAAAAAAAATTATCAAAATGTCTTTTAAAGCAGTTGTATATTTTGCATTCCCACCAGCAGTGAGTTCCTGTTGCTTTATATCTTTGTCAGCATTTGGTGGTGTCAGTGTTTTGGATTTTAGACATTTGGTGATATCCGTCTTCTTTAATGAGGTGTCTGTTAAATCTTTTGAAATTTTTGAAAATCGGGTTATTTTCTTGTTGAGTTTTACGTGTTCTTTGTATATTTTGTATAACAGCCTTTGATCTGGTATATCTTTTGTAAATATTTTCTCCCAGTCAGTAGTGTTTCTTCTCATTTTCTTGATCTTTCTTCTTTTTTAATGTAGTCATTTACAGCTCTAAATTTCTAAGGACTGCTTAGATTTCTTTTTTAACCTGTTGATAAATTTCCCAAATGTCATTCTGTTTTATTTCTAATTTTACTCCATTGTGATCAAAGAACACACTTCTTCTGTCCTTTTAAGGCTTGTTTTATTGGTCTAACATGATGAATGTTCCATGTGTGCTTGAGAAGAAGATGTATTCTGCTATTGTTGGAAGGAGTGTTTTATAAATATGTAGTTGGTTCATAGTATTTTCAAGTCCTGTATTTCCTTGTGGCTCTTTTACCAATCCTTTGTTGAAAGTGGGATATGAAGTCTTCCACTTTAGTTAATTACCTATTTCTCCAATTCCTCCCATTTTTTGCTTCATTCATTTTGGGCTTTGTTGTTAGGTGCATATATTTTCCTAATTGTTTTATTTTTTTTTTTAGTTCTATCTTGATGGATTGTCCCTTTTACCAATATAAAATATCCTTCTTTGTTTCTACTAACAGTTTTTGTCTTTGAGTCGATTTTAACTGTAAAATTGACTTTAAGTGTAGGCACTCCCTCTCTCATGTCTTAATACATTAGTGGTAAATTCTTAGGTTACTTTCAAGTGAAATTTTTATTACAGTTTTGTTATTTCTTTATTGTTGTTCTCAACAAAGCATCAATTTAAAATTATGTATAGAGTTGAAAATAACTAACAATCACCCTCAAAAAATGGTTGTAAGCCCAGCCGGCGTGGCTCAGTGGTTGAGCGTTGACCTAAGAACCAAGAGGTCACAATTTGATTCACAACAGGGCACATACCTGGGTTGTAGGCTCAGTCTCCAGTGGCGGCCTGCAGGAGGCAGCAGATCAGTGATTCCCTCTCATCCTTGATATCTCTCTTTCTCTCTTGCTCTCCCCCTCTCCTCTCTGAAATCACTACAAATATATATATATATACTAGAGGCCCGTTGCACAAAGATTCGCGCAATAGGCCTTCCTTCCCCTGGCTGCCGGCACCGGTTTTCCTCTGGCACCTGGGACCCAGGCCTTTGGTTTAGCCGCAGCAGAGAAGCCAAGTCTCGAGGCTAGGCTTCTCCACTCGGGCCGTTGCGAGGCTTGGCTTCTCTGCTGTAGCCACAGCGGAGAAGCCAAGCCTCTTCAGTCTTAAGTCTTCGCTCTGTGCCTGCGTATGCAAATTAACCGCCATCTTTGTTGGGTTAATTTGCATACTCATCCTGATTGGCTTTGGGGCATAGGGGAGTGACAATCAATTTACATATTTCTCTTTTATTAATGTAGATATTTTAAATGGTTGTAAAATGTTAAGTGGCATGTAAAGCTTGGAAAGGAAAGATATTTACTAGGGATAATGAGGAGCGGTTCTTAGGAGAAACTAAAAGTTTAGCAAACAGAAATAATAGTTACAATTTTATTT